CCCCCCGCCGAGAGCGCGCCCGGGGAGAGCACCCGCGGCTACCAATAGGGGACAGCGAAGGGGGCGGGTCTTACCGTTGGTAGGTTGCTAAGGCCGATGGGGGGTGAGTAAGACGCGTGCTGATTGGGGAAGCGCAAACACACAGCCAATCCGCCGCGCTGTTGTTGTCAGGCAGGTCGCGACGGGAGAAGCATCCCAAGCGGAGGGAAAGTAGTCGGGAGGCGGTGGCAGAGATCCGTCCCCTGCCCGGTCTCGATGGCGTTTGTGCTGAGGAGAGGCCGGAAGGGCCCCTTCGTGAGTATCGCCCCGTCCAGGGCACGTCTCGTCCCCGGGAAGCGGCCTGCGGTTCACACCCGCCGACCCTCCCCCCCCGCCGCTGGCGCCGGTGATCGTTGGGCAGTTGGAAGTGAAAAATGGGGAGAAAAATAAATCCTAAACAAAGAAAAGAAGGCGTCCGGAGCCCGGGTGCCGGGGTTCCCCTTTCCCTCAGTGCCGGGCCTGCCCATCTTCTCCAGAAGCGCTCGGCGTGGCGGGGCGGCGGTGTCCCGGCCCCGCTCCGCTCCAGGGCGGCCGCTGGGTACCGGCGGGGCGGGAGCTCCGGCAGTGGAAGCGCAGCTCGCTCGCTTGCTGCGGTGATCCTCCAGGAGCCTCACTTCATGTCCACTGCCGTGAAGTGAACTGATCCAAGTTGGTAGAGAAAGCCTAGAGCAGCCCGGGGTGTCAGCAGCGGTGCGGGTGTTGTCTTCGAACGTGCTCGGAGTAGGTGGAGGTTTTTTTATTATTCCATCTTCTGTTGTTGTCTTTACTGTGGGATGACAGCATCCGTGTACCTCAGCGGTATTCCTTGGCAATCGCAGTAAGACATCTACAGTCAACAGCCGTTAGCGAACGAGGTGGTGCATGCCAGGCAGACTTCCAGAGTTAGGGAGCAGCGCGTCTGCAAGACAAGACGGAGTCAAAAGACAGTCTTTGTAATGCACCGTTTAGTTGTTTCATGCAGCTTCCTGTAAAGAAAGATATATTTTCCAGTTCACCTGTTCACTGTCCTGTTAGAGAAGCCAATTAAAGAAAAATTACCAAAAAAAATTATCTGTAGCAGAAACTTAGCTTGTTTTACTTCATAAGAAAGTAACATCTGTCTGAAGGTGATGGACTTTATGGCATAGTATTTTCTGATGCCTACAGAGAGGACAAGAGGCAATGGGCACAAATTCAGACATAGAAAATTCAACTTAAAACCAATAATACAAAAATACTGTGAAGGTAGTCCAGCACTGGAACAGGTTGCCCAGGGAGCTTGTAGAGTGTCCACCCTTGGCAACAGTCAAAGCCTGACTGGACAGGATCCCAGTCAGCCCTCTCTAGTTGACTCTGCTCTGAGCAGGGACTTGGACTAGACAGTCTCCAGGGCTCCCTTCCAACCTCAACCATTACGTGATTCCATTCAAAGTACTCTTTGTAGGGAATTCTGGTTCCAGTTTTTCTGAGCTGGTATTTAATGTTATCCTTTTAAAAAATTGTTGAGTTTGCTGATAAAAACACATTAGGACGCTTTTTTTTTCTTAATTCAGGTTGAACCTTTGACTGCAAGACTTGTTTAGTGATAGTTTTTTCTTCCATCTCATACGTCTATGACCGATGAGTACTTCTGACTGACAGACTCTGTAACAAAGGGATTAAGAGTGTTACTATGAAGCAGGGTTTAAATATTTTGAAAAAAGTTAATTTCTAGTACTCCTTTTTTCTTGTATATATACAGGAAAAAAAACCCAAACTTGAATTGAGTAAGTTAAAATTCTGTTTTTGCAGATTGTGATATAGTGAGTGGAAAACCTACAGTCATGGATCTTGTGTAAATTACATTTCTAACCTTCATTAGCAGCTGTTCATACTTGTTAAAAAATTAAACTTGGAACCATTTCAAGTCTTCTGTTTACATTAATTGCATGTAATTGTTCTTCCTTTTTATATTGTTTTGCATTGTAAGTTTTTGTACATGTTCAATTCTGTGTTTTTTTCATTGTGATCCTTAAAGTCATTGTCAACTAATTTTATTTTAAATTGTTTAGAAACATATAGCTCATGGCCTGGTCCCTGCTGCTACCATAGCTCCTAAACCTGCAGTTCCCCGCACCCCTCCCCCTCGTAGTCCAAACCCTTCTCCAGAAAGGCCCAGGTAGGTTCTCAGTGTTTTCTTTGGGTTTTTTTGCTTCATCGACTACAATAGCATCCTAGAAAAGCATGTTTAGAAGAATTGCTTGTCCTTGCTGCAGTACTTACAGAAACCTTTTCATAAATAGAATATATTTTTAATTGGGCCAGTCCCCTTCTTTGAACTTTAAAGATACCTATTTTTCTGCCACTCCTAAGCATGCTAGATGTGAGGACAATGACCATTATGAATATGTCACTTGCTATACATCTGAGTAAATTAAAGACAAATGGACTATTTAAAATTAGGGCCGTTTTTAATTGGGCTGCTCCAGTAGAGTGTAGGACAGTAGCAGTACTAGTACCGTAAGTCAGGAAACTTTAACGCGTTAGAAAAGCAAAAATTAAACGTTACTAACGTGCCATCGTATTGCATATTAAAAAAAGCAGAGACTTAAAAAATGACATCTAAAATCATGTTGGATTGGATTTGAATTAGCTATATAAGCAACTTACATAAAGAGAAATTACAAATTTATTTTTCTTTTCATTTGTAGTTTCTTACATTGTCTATGTTTTTTCTACATTTAGTTCAGTTCTGGTTGT